AGGGGGGAAGGGGGGGGGCAGCGGGCGTGGGGAGGCACTTTTCCTCTGCCCGGCAGCTCTGCGGGACCCCAGTCGGAGCCGGCCCGAGGAGGAGGAGGAGGATCCTAGGACCCAGGTGAGCGAGCCCCGGGAATGCTGCTGCGCATGTGCGGGAGTTGCCTCATCCCGTTCGTATCTAGGGATCCGACGTAAGTCGGATCCACGTAAGTCGGGGACTGCCTGTAGTCAGGAAACACCAAAATAAAGGTTAACTTTTTCCCCGCCAAGAGTCCCACCTTCATTTAATGAGCAGGTAGACTCCGCAGTGGACCAAGCCATGATTCAACTTTTAAAATAGTGTTAGAAACAAAAACAAAAAGTGTATATAGTATAAAAAGTTAGACGTCAAAAATATTTTCTCTATACAAATATATTACATTTAAAACACATTTAAAATGTTCTTCTCAGTTAAATGAGTACACATCTCTATCTTGCTGTTGTAGGCATTGCAACCTGCATACTGAGGGTAAATTATTTTATTCAAATTCATTTGAACTCAATATTTACACACACTAGAAGATTTACCCAGCACTCTCCTTAACATAACTTTTGTTTTTTGGCATATCGGTTAATCTTGTTGACTGCATACATTCCACCCCCTGCTGCCTCTGTATCAGAGGCAGCAGGGGGAAGGGGAGGAAAGAGGAGGAGCAGGAACCAGTGCTTGGGGGAACTGGTTTACAGGGAAGGGGTGGGGAAGCTGCCGCGAAGCAGCTCCTGTTCGCAGGGGGTCTTAACTGCCGGGGACAGAGGCTGCTCCGCTTCCCACAGAGCAGCTTCTGTCTGCTGCAAGCCTTGGCCCATGCAGACAGAGGCTGGTCTGGTAGCAGCCCCTGTCCAATCTTCCCATGGACAGGTGTTGCTCAGACCCCCTGTGGACAGGGACTGCTGCCAGACCAGTCTCTGTCCATAGTGGGCTCAGGTTTACTGCAGACAGAGGCTGCTCTGTGGGAGACAGGGCAGGCTTTGTCTGCCTAGTACTTGGACTCCCATGGACAGGGGCTGCTGCTGGGGGCCTGCCCGTGTCCCCCGCCAGCCTGAGCTGCTGAGGACAGAAACTGGTCCCCTGGCAGCGTCCCCCACTTGGTCTCCCTTGGCAGCAGCCTCTGTCCGTGGCAAGTTCGGACCCCCGCAGGTGGGGGCTGCAGCCACCCTGTACGGTCTCTGTATCAGAGGCAGCAATGCAGGGCAGCAGACAGTTCGTCTGCACTGGGAGCTGGTTTTTAAACCGGCTCCTCCCTGGCACCCCGCACTGCTGCCTCTGATACAGGGCAGCAGTGCAGTATGATAGGGGGTCCCCTGGAGTAGGGCTGGAGCACACTCGCTGCCAGCTCCGACCCTGAGGACTATCAAATAATCCAATATTTTAATTTAGTCAATATCGGATTTAGATATCTTAAAAGTTTTTAAAACTTACCTTTTTTAGTAACTTTCCTTTTCCTCCTTTTTGTGTTTACAGCATTATTATAGTTACTATTATTGGCATCCGTTTCATATGCTAAATTAGAAGAGTAATGAAAACTAGCATCGGGTCCAGATTTTGAACTCCCTGCAATCTCAGAAGGTACCATGCCCTCTGACAAAGAACTGTTTCCAGTCTCCTTCATTTCTGTTTCGGACTCTGCTGTGTCTTCTAAGTCACTCAAGACTTTTGCTTTTTTTAAACGAGTTGTAGGTTTTTGACTGGTCACCTTCTTGATTTTTCTACCATTCCATGTGCCTGACTCAGAATCTTCCTCATCCTCAGAATTGCTCATTGAATGCTGCTTGCATATAGAAATTGACTGGTTGGATGCTTTGTGACTGCTGCCATTGTCTGATTCATAGTTTTTGGAGTCCTCCTCTGAAAATTCTACTGTGGTATTTTTAATTTTAAGGGGTTTAGCACAGACTACCTTGTGTGGTGTTTTTTTGCTATTGTTTTGCCTATTTTTTTGTGCCACTGTTGTAACAGTTTCAGAATCAGAACTCCCATCTTCAGATTCACTAATATATTTTCTTCTAGTAGCAAATGAACCAGATTGAGAAAACTTTTTCCTCCTCGCATACTGTTCTTTTTCACTTTCAGACTTTAAAACTGTCTCATCATCAGAGCCGTCCAACAACAATTTCCTGGCTGCAGCTGATGCATTGCGGTGGGGCAGTTTTCTGTTTTTGAATCCAATGCCAACACTTTCTGAACTGGAGATCTCTTCTTCCACATCACTCATGAGCCTCAATTTATTAGCAGCCACAGTAGCACTTCTGCGTGGAATTTTTCTATGTCTACCAGTTTTGTTATTCAATGATTCACAAGACAATGCTGAAGTATTTTCAGAGTCACTTCTATACACCCTCTTCCTGGCTGTTTTTCTGATATTTCCATGCTCCTGAGAAACACATCCTATAAAATAAAGAGTTGCTATCAATTTTAAATAGGACACCCATTTATGTTAAATTCAATTTCCTGTAAAGTCAAACAAGATCAACTCACAGGCACAAACTGAACTGAAGTACAAATGTAGTAATAGTTGCAACTTACATGGAACGTTTCATTTAAATAGAAAACAGTGTGTCTCATTCTTCACAAAACTTAACAATAAACATCTACTTTGACTTGAAGCTTGCTTTATTTATATTTAAACCATAATTAGTATCAGCTGTGCAGGTTGGACCTCTCTGGTCTGGCATCCTCGGGACCCGAACCAGAGGGTTTGCCAGACCAGGGGAGCCAAAGTTCCTCTCTGGGTTGTGGGCACCCTCGGAGCCTGGGCTTCCCTCCCTGTTGCTGGCCCCATGCTGGGGCCCACAGGGTCAGCCTCTTCGGGCTGGGATTTCCCCAACAGATGCTGGCTCCTCTCTGCCAGGGTAGCTAGCAGAGTTGGGGCTTCCCGTTGTCTCCATTGCCACTGGGGTTCTGGGCCAGGGATCCCGACTGGGGATTCCCCCACACCTGCTGCTGGTTCAGCTGCTTCATTGGTTCCTGGGATGGGGATTCCTCACAGCTGCCACCAGCACAGCTGTTGCCAGGGTTCCCAGATGGGGCTGGAGATTTCTCTCAGCCCCCACAGGGGTTCCCCAGCTTGGGGCTCTCCAGGGATGGACTTCCCACCAACCGCAGGACCAGTCCCTGCCAGCCCAGTTAGGGCTCCCCAGCAACTGTGGCGGTACTCCCAGATGACTTGCGCACCTCGCCTTCAGGGCTCTCTTGTCCAGAAACATTCATGGTCGGGATGTTAAATTTTGAGTAACTGACTGATCGAATAGTCAATGCAATTTGCATTCACTATCTGATTAGTCGATAGGGCACCTCCACCTTTCCAGTGTAGCAACAGCCATAGGGAAGTTTGCCAACTTCAAAGGCAAAAGCGCTGGAGGAGCATGGGATCAGCGGGGCAGTCCCTTGTTGGCACCTATGTGCCCCAGGGCCTCTCAAAGCAGCAATACCACATGGAGCCTGGGGTCAGCTGAGGATTCCCCCGTTGATGCCGGGCTCCTGGGCTCCTTTCCGCACTGCTGCTTTTAAATGCTGCGGGAAGCCCAGCATCAGGCTCCTCATAGCATTTCAAAGCAGCAGTCACTTGGAGCCCAGGATCAGCTGTGGACTCCCCTGCTAACCCTGGGCTCTGCGTGCATCCTAGGGACACCCCAGATGTCAGCAGACTGCACAGTGTTTTAAAGTGGCAGTGCCACATGGAGCCCGTGCTCCACGCAATGCTTCCGCTTTGAAATAGCCCCCCTCCCCTCCCTTGCTGCCTTTTTCTGATAGAGGCAGCAAGGGGGGAAGAAATTAGTCATTCACATCCCTAATTCATAGTCCTTCCTTCTGGACCACAGATGTTGCTGGACCAGAAAGTCCTGGATTTGGGAGGTTCAACCTGTATTCAATTTCTTTTTTATAATTAAAAATAAGGGCATTGTAAAACCTTCATCCTCATTGTCTGACTTTCTGTTCATTTTACTAGTACAAGGTGGACCTCTCTAGTTCAGCATCCTCAGGATCTGACTGGTCCTGGATGAGGGGTTTTGTCTGATCAAGATAGGTCATATCTGGCCCGCTCCTGCTGGTCCCCATCACTCCCCCTTGCCTACCATCCCAGCTGACAGTGCATTGAGCTCCTGCCCTGGCAGGCAGCCCAGCCCCTCCAGGAAGCCAAGCTGAGCAGCCCCACTGCAGCGTGCAAGGCTCCCAGCCCCTGCAGGCAGCCAAGCTGGGGCACACAGGGCAACCTAGCTTAGCAGCCTCCCTGCGGTGCTCCAGGCAACCCAGCTGTGGGGATCTAGGCTCCTGGCCCACTGGACCCTCCAAGCAGCCCCACTGGGGCATGCCTGGCTGCCCAGCTGTGGAGGTCTAGGCTCTTGACCTTGCTGGCAACTCGGTGTCAGAAGCCTGCAACCCTGGCAGTCCACAGGGATCCTAGGCACCAGCCCTCCATCAGGACTCTTTGGTCCTGGAACATCCATAGTCCTGACAGACCAGGTATGTTGTCGGACCAGATAGTCCCCGTTTACAAAGGTTCAATCTGTAACTTCCTTCATTATGTATTCTTTCAGTGTGAATGTTAATCATTTTACTAGAAAAGACAGTGAGATTCTGGCAACAGTTTTACTCTTACAGCAACAGTCTTTGTACAAGTGCCCTCCGCTATGCTAGCTAAGGCATGTATTCAAGATCTTAACTTACAGTTTTAAACTTTTAAAAAGGTTAACATGAACTTAAATGCACCACCTATATTTACTACTGAATATGCATTTTCTCATACTACTAGCCATTCACAGAAAATGCTGATTGAATCTTACCCATTTGCTTTCTTTGAGCTGCTCTATTTCTGGTTACCCTAAAGCTGCTGTTTGCTCTGGATAAGCCATTGTGTAATACTGGGGATTTAAGAGCCATAGAGCTTTCTTTACTTTCCTCTGAGCTACTTGACGAAGAAGAGGAAGATGCTGATGAGGAAGAAGAGGAAGCAGCCAAAGAACCTTCTGTTTCACTTTCTGGTAATTAAAAATAATTAGAATTCTAATTAGGAACAAAGCAAGTTAATTGAAAATAAATTAGTGGTAATCTACTGTTTCACACATTCAGTTATCAGGACCAAGGTTTTTCTAAAGATATTTATTTAGCTAGAATTTAATTTAGTTGGGAATTATCCGTAACTTAGCTTAAAAAGGCAAAGAAAGGTTAGCAAACATTTCACAGCTAAAATTTAATATATAAGCAAACAAACAACTTTTAAAATAGATTTTGCTTCCCACCTGATGACAACACAGAATAATTTGTTAACGTAGTTGTTGCTTTTTCATTCTTTTCACGTGATGATATGCAAGCAGAATTAGAAGATTCACCAGAAGAACTGTGGACATAGGTGCTAGTATTTATTTTATGGCTTATCACACATGCTGCACTGCTAGAGGTAGGCTGAGTAGAAGAATCTTCCTGTTCAGATTCAATTTTTGCCGGCGATTTTAAAGGTTTATGTTTCACATTTCTAGACAAAGAGTAAATAGAAATAACTGTAATATATAATGTAAGAGAGCAGAATATTTTAATAAGAAATAATATATTTGGAAACTTGGATAAAAAGCAATAATTCATATGGCTAGAAAGCAAACTATACTCAGTACCATTTCCAATATGGCGAAAAGCAATTAAAAGTGAACTAAAATTTAAATTTTATTATGTCAGCAGTCATGGGACATTTGCAACTCAGGAGTCAATGCTAAGTGCTTTAGATAAAAGTGTAGATTGCAACCATGGTGAAAATACCTAATGATATCTAATCCATTTTCTGATTTAAACTGTACATATATTCATAAATCTGAGCCTGACAGTGTTTTTCCTCTACTTTCTAAGTTGTAATAGCAGCCTTTGGATTTCTCATGTAACCTAGAGTCCTCATTTATCAGTTGCAATAGGCATTTCAAAAGGGATGTGTACCAATTACATCCTATGATAAACAAAGTCCCAAAAACTCTAGTTAACAGGGATGTTAAAAAGCTGTTAATTAGGTAACCATGTGAAAAAATCATAGCAGTTACAAGGTGCAGACTCTGCAGTATAAAGCTTATACTGCAGAGCCTGCAGCACAGTGGCTTTACATTGCAGAGCCTCAAGCTGGGGAAGCAACTGACTCTCACTTGCGCTGCCGTGCTCCCCAGGAAGCCAGCGTGTACCATTATGGTAACTGATAAGCTCATGTAGATCGGTTAATTGTTGAAATGGTTATACTATTACATCCCTACTAGCTAAGGGGTGGAATTTGAAAGATCTTGATCTCTGAAATAAAATGTACGTACACAGACAGACATATGAAGACATGAAGGTTATAGTTTTCCACTGTAACTCAGTCTACTCTGAAGGAATGCTGCACGGAAGCCTGGCAGTTATTTGATTACTGGAGAAGGGGCACACATGTCTCTCTTTCTCTCGTCACACTGCCTGCCTCCTCCCTCCCTCTCCTTTCCCCAGTGCTTGTGGGGGAGCCAAGGCTGCCACATCATGGCCTGTCTTCCTTCCCCCGGCAGCCCCTACTTTCCCCCAGCTGCTGGGGGAGCGCGTCAGGGCTGGCGCAGACTCAGCACTCCCTGCTGGCCGGACAGGTTGGGGAATCGTGTGGCCTCAGCCCTGTCCGACGGATAGGTGTGTGTTCATGCATGTCCATGTCCGGTGCCACCTACCCCCAGAGAGAGGGGGGTTGGTGAACATAGCGAGCAGTGGGAAGAGCCCCCTTCTAATAAATACAATTAAAATATTAAAAAAACCTGAATGGGAAATTTGTTACCTGATAAAGTCATGGTATTAACACATGTACTAGGCCCCTTAATCTTGACTTCTTCAGTGTTTAGAATAAAGGATCCTTAAACACTTAGGCCACAAATGCATGAAGGGCTCTTTGGCAGCTTCTTGTGCAAGAACTCTCTTGTGGAAGAGTCCTTGTGCAAAAAAAACTCTTCCAGAAGAGAGCGTCTACACTGGCATGTGCTTTTACACAAGAGATGTGCTTTTGCACATGAGCATCCATGCCAGCGTAGACGCTCTCTTGTGCAAGAAAGCTCTGATGGCCATTTTAACCATAGGGCTTTCTTGCACAAGAAATTCATGTTGCCTGTCTACACTGGCCTCTTCTGGAAGAGCTCTGACGCAAAAAGCCCTGATTTTATACATTACAATGTCAGTTTACTTGCGCAAGAACATGCGGCCAGTGTAGACAGGCAGCAAGTTTTTGCGCAAGAGCGGCTGCTTTTGCGCGAGATCGCGCCAGTGTAGACACAGCCGTATAGTATACTGGCAAAGAACTCCTGACGCAGACATGGCTTATACAAGCAAAACTTCACTTTTATTAGAATAACTTATTTCACCACACCTTAGCAAAAACAAATGACCTGGGTAAAAGTGTAATTTTCCCCATATAACTTCTTCTACTATTACAGGCTTCTGACAGCAGAATTATGGTCAAGAACCACACCTCTTCCACCACCTGACCAGCACAACTGTCCTGACAAATCTTTAATGAGGACTTGATCTTGCCATAAAGCAGGGGTGGCCACCCTGTTGCAGACGAAGAGCCAAAATAGTGGTGGATTCAGCGCAAAGAGCCGGGGGGAAAAAAGGCCTGGCTTATTTCCTTAGAAATTTAGGATCAATGTCATCATGAGCTGCCAATACCACCAATATAATACATGTGGACTATATCTTCCTATTACATAGGCTTGGTTATAGCAATTTCTCATTATGGCTAGCAACTTTTACTAACTTGCAATGAGCTATATCATGTAAGTCTTCCATCTTTCATATAAGTTCAGTCCATTAAAATCTGGTTGTCTGACTAAAGATGAAGAGGTTAAAAATTGTTCTCCATGTTATCTTAATTGTTTTGTAAACAAATTTGTATACACAAAGGATTCTCTTTGCAAGTATTCACTGCTGCGAGACAAACTATTAAATATTTCACTTTAACTAGTTAACATTTCACTCAAATTAATTCTAGTAGATCATGCTGTTATCTCACAAAACTGAATGCAACATGCATAATTTTTACAATACTGAAAATTCCTCAAATGCACTTATCTTTCTAATTTATTTACCTGAGCATTTTGTTAGGATGCTGTGCCATGGTAGGACTTTGCAACTTCCTATTACATCGCTGACTTCTTCGTAGTCTTTCATTGTATTTTTGGCCAGTTTTAAAATCAGAAACGATTCTTCTCATTTTTTCCTCAAATAGTGCTGATAACCTCAAGGTCATACTATAAATCTAAATAAAGATTTTAAATTTACATCACAAAGCATACTATGTATAAATGGAATGTTTTACAAAAACAAGAGAGTTTACCGAAGAGACCATGTAGAAAAAAACGACAAAATGACTCAGCATAAATTAGAGCTACAAGAGACATATGACTGACACATACTTTTCTGAATACTTTGTTGTACTCTATTCTCTCTCAAAAACCACCAGAGATGTGTTACTAACTGATAAAGGACTCAACACTAAATGAAGACTAGACCAGTGTTTTTCAACCTTTTTTTTTATCAAGTACCCTTAAAAAAAAAAAAAGTACCTTGAGTACCTACAGTTAGCAGACACTATTTTTTTCTACCACTGCAACACATGTGTTTAAACAACTTAATCGTAGCCGGGAGGATGATGAAATTTTGGGGTGTAAGAAGTACAAAAATAAAGCGCTATAAAACTTAAAACAAAAATTCAGTTTTCTCCAAATTTCAGTTGTGTTGACGTACCCTCCCGACTTCTCTCAAGTACCATTAAGGATACTCATACCACTGGTTGAGAAACTGTGGACAAGACCAGCTTCATTACTATGAAAGCATAGTGTACAAAAAGTTACCTTTGATCTTTTATTTGGAGTGTAAGATTTTGCATTGCTAAATATTAGTCTTATATCTTTGCACAGTTCTATCGGAGTGTCATAATTCCCAGCTTCCAGCGTTTCCTTCACTGTACCAAAGTCCATTGGAGTGTCTATAATATGCCTGTAGTCCTAGATAAAATATATGGAGCAAAAAATTCACAATAGGTCAAGAGGCCATACAGTAAAACAGAAGAATTTGATGTCTTATTTTGCCATTTCTATTAATGTAACAGCTGAGTAATCTCAAGTCTTGAACTACAATTTAGGCAAATTAAGAACCACACCCTAATAAAAAAGACTCGAGATTTTAGGTTCAGATAGCTTAGAGCTACAGCCTCTGTTGTTGCCGTCACATCTGGGGGTACCTATTAAAGGATCTTTCATTTTAAAAAGTTTCAATCTGTTATGGTTCCAGAGAAAATCCTGAAAATATAAAATGCAGCCAATACAGTGATGTCTGAGTCCCCAGTAGGGATACTAGAGTGTGTGCAACTGAATACTCGAATAACTGCATCAAATTTTAGTGGTTACACAACTATTCGATAGCCCCTGGAGGTATCAGAGGAATAGGCAGGAGAAGGTCCGCGAGGAGAGCCGATTTAAAAGGCTGCACCTCGGGGAGGCAGGCAGTCGGATCCAGTGCTTGTGAGGAGCCAGCTCCTGTCTCCCCCTTGCTGCCTCTGAAGGTGAATGAGTGTAGACAGGATTAAATAAGCCCAGGTTTATCAGTTAATCCTGTAGTCATCCACATGCTGACATCTTACACCCCAGAACTTTATAGCTTTGAGTAGGCAAATTTTCCCCATTCATCTCCATGCAAGTTAACTTAGGTGCCCAATAAACATTAAAGGTCAACATTAACTATTTCACCAATGACCAAAGCAAAGAAAGGATCATTACATAAATCTTTCACACTATCTGTTCCAAGTGACTGTAAATTGGTGCACAATATGGGGCAAGCATAAGAGATACCTCCACTTATTTCCCCTCCCCCCCTCAATTAATAAAGAGCTGAGCAGTATCCAGTATGGTGTCTGAGTCCCTTACCAAGGAGTCTAACATAGCCGATGGGTGTATCTGAATCTCATTCAGGGAGCACCAAACTCAAGGGCTACGTCTACACTGGCCCCTTTTCCGGAAGGGGCATGTAAATTTCATGAGTCGTAGTAGGGAAATGCGCGGGGGATATTTAAATCCCCCGCGGCATTTAAATAAAAATGTCCGCCGCTTTTTTCCGGCTTTTAAAAAAGCCGGAAAAGAGCGTCTACACTGGCCCCGATCTATTCCTTTGAAGTAGGAATAAGACCCTCCGGAAAAGGGCACTTTTTCCGGAGGATCGGGGCCAGTGTAGACGCTCTTTTCCGGCTTTTTTAAAAGCCGGAAAAAAGCGGCGGACATTTTTATTTAAATGCCGCGGGGGATATTTAAATCCCCCGCGCATTTCCCTACTACGACTCATGAAATTTACATGCCCCTTCCGGAAAAGGGGACAGTGTAGATGAGCCCGATGAGTGTGAAACAGACAGCAACTTATTGGAGCTAAGGATGTTAAATAATGGTTAATTTACTAGTCCAGTAGTCGATGGAATTTCCATCGACTACTTGATAGGCACTTCTTCATTCCTCCTTTGAAATGTACAAGAGCCTCCGCTGGGGTTAAACATCTCCTTTTATGAGACAAGCATCAAACCAAAAGGCAAACATAGGCTGTTATAGTGGTAGAACTCTCCAGTACTATACAAGGGAGCAGATCAGTGAACAACATTGGATCTGAAGATATGCAGTGTGTTTTTTTCTTTCTTTCGTTACTGATACTAGAGGTGGAACAAGACCCTGCTTTGGGACAGTGACAACCTTACCAGAATCAGACAAGATTCATAGTTCTGATGTATAGGAACTGGCATTTCTAACCATGGCCACCTTGCGCCTATGCTGCTTCTTCCTTGGTGCCACAACATCCGAAATTGAAGGCAACAACAGCCTTCATTCAGAGACCACATACATACATCTTCCAAGATGTGAAAAAGGCAGCTGGATCTGATCCTGGTCCAGCTGCCATAGAGGTTACAACAAAGTCCGACTGCTGAGAGGCAGGCACAAGGCTTGGCAATGAACTATTCCATAACCTTTCCTCCAGAACCAAAGAGGTGGTGGGATCTGACCAAACAATTCTCAGTTTGGACATGTATCACCTTGAAGGTTTGATTGGAGGAGCCACAGAAAATTCACAATAGGTCAAGAGGTGACCTATAGGTCACCTATATTGACCAATAGGTCAATAGGTCAAGAAACCGATTCCAACCCCAGTAAGGACTGCAGCTAAGCAGAACATGCTGAGGCCACCAGGGCCAAAGCTGGCAATTTAGACATTTGTCTCAAAGTCAAAAGATTCAGAGGATCTAGCCTCAAGTAGAAGCAACTGTAGGCAAGTCTTCCAGTCTTTACAAGGTCTGGGTAGAAGCAGGGTGAAAGTCTAGCACCCATGAAGAGGTTTAAGAAAGTAATATTTAAAATTAACAACCCAATGAAGTTAATACCCAAAAGAAGTTTCCATGTCTCAATCACTGTTTCACAATGTCTGCTGACATCATTATACTGGTTTACATTTACAAAGTTCTCTCTGCAACCCTAGGTGCTAGGAATTGACTATTTTTAAAATGAAAGCTTGGTCTACATGAATCACAAATACTAAACCATGTCAGATTCAGTTCATGGCCAAGCATCTGACAGTCTTGCCCACCAATCTCAAGGAAACTGAAGTTTATCAACACCCCTTAGAAGTAATCAACTTCAAGAACAAAAAATTAAACTAATTTGTGATAAGCAGTTCCAGTTTCAATGACAAACAGAAAAAGACCAATTAAAAATAAAACATTAATATTTTCATAGATGTTATAACCAGGCATAGATAGCTAGGCACAGGGCAAGGCTAATTTGTGTCAATGGTTTGGATGGAGAACACAGCACATAGCTCCAAGAGCTATGAATCCAACTTCATGAATGAGTCTTATTATGGTACAAGTTCTGTACCAAGAAAGAGCAATAATACGACAAACATTAGGACACTTAAGATTTATGAAGGATAACTTACAGGATATTGATCCAAATCAACCGGTTGTCTGAAAGGCTCAGAATCTTCACATTGGAAAATTAAATTCACCAGTTCCATACATTGCTTCTTCCAGGTATTTTCATCATAGTTAATTTTCACATTGTTTCGTCTCTTTATAACCCGTCCCTTAAAAAAAAAAAAATTATTTCCTGAAAAAACTAAGTTACAAAAATAATTCCAGTTTGATTTTTTTAAACGTGCATTGCAGAAATTAGTGAATAAACTTCAAGAGTAGTTTTTCTTAGTAAAGAAAAAGAAAATTATTAGCAAAGCAGAATAGTTTTTAAAATTTCTGCTTCAATTTTTGTAAGTGTTGAATGAGAATTTTCTGTCAATCCAGCTGTTCTTATTGACTATTACAGGATCAAACTTAAATATAATACTAAGTGAAAAAGGGATGCAAAAATGCTCTCGATTTCCTGCAAACTCCTTTAGGGGAACAACTATGCTCCGTGATAAAAGGGGTTGAATTTAAATCTTGTTTTTTCTTGCTGAAAACACGGTCCTGTATTCCTTAAGTATAAACCTTTAAGAAAAGGCTGTTGAATAATTCCAATGATTTACATATTGGCTACGTCTAGACTGGCATGATTTTGCGGAAATACTTTTAATGGAAAAGTTTCTCCGTTAAAAAGTATTTCCGCAAAAGAGTGTCTAGATTGGCACGGATGCTTTTGCGCAAAAAGTGCTTTTGCGCAAAAGCATTCGTGGCCAGTCTAGACGCGATTTTGCGCAAGAAAGCCCCGATTGCCATATTAGCCATCGGGGCTTTTTTGCACAAAACAGTTCTTCCCTGTCTACACTGGCCCTCTTGTGCAAGTATTCTTGCGCAAGAGGGCTTTTTCCCGAGCGGGAGTGGGGAAGTATTTACGCAAGAAGCACTGATTTTGTACATTACCAAGTCAGTGCTCTTGCACAAATTCAAGCGGCCAGTGTAGACAACTGGCAAGATTTTGCGCAAAAGCAACTGCTTTAGCGCAAAATCTTGCCAGTCTAGACGTACCCATTGGGTTTATACACTCAGACTAAGAAGGATGGGTAATAACTGGTCTGTACGTCAGGCATGGTTCACTGGGGTTAGCCACTGATGAGATGCCAGATGCTTTATTTACTTAAGTGTTCACAGGTACTGCAACTCTCAGCTCCCAGGAGCTGCAATTTGCCATCCAAAGCAAATGGGAGCAGCAGGAAATGATGACCTGGCCCACACCACTTCCTGCAGCTCCTGTTAGGTGGCAACAGTGAACCCTGGCCAACCAGAGCTGTGAGCAGCCTTGCCTGTGGACACTCAAATAAAACATTAGCAGTATGCCAGCAGCTAAGCCTGGTGAATGGCATATGGCCCACCTCTGCAAGAGGCCATAATGAGCTAATCTAATCCTGTACATCACGGCTTCTCAACTTTGGAAGCCCTGGGGGCCACAATGATACTCACAGCACATGCCAAGGGCTGTAACTTAAGTGTTGTTGCATATATGTATGTAAATAGTTTCTTTCACACTGACAGACATGAATACAAAGCACTTTCCACAATGCCCCGGTGCTCCGAGCACCTCCTCCCTGGGGGCTAGAAATGCCAACACTCTGCACCTGTCTGTTCCAGCCAACCCATCCACTTGCCTCTTTCAATGCTCACCTCACCTGGGAGACGCCTCGCCATTGTGGAACGTGTTCCCAATGGAGGCCATGTTCAATGGATCCCACCTGCAGGCCATGTGTTGAACCCCATGTAAACGCAAACTGCACTGCGGGGCCACACAAAAAACGGGCTATTGGCTGCGTGTTGAGTAGCCCTGCTGTACATTGCAGGCAACCTAAGCTCACCTAACCACTCCTATAATAGACCTTAATGTCTGGCTGAGTTACTGAAAGCCTCAAATCTTGATTTAAAGACTTTCAGTTACTGAATATCCACCATTTTTCTAGCAAATGACTTGTACCCATGCTGCAAAGGAAAGTGAAAAAATCCCCAGTCTGCCAATCTAACCGGAGACAAAATTCCTTCCCAACCCCAAACACGGTGATCAGTTAGACCCTGAACATATGAGCAAGAACCACCAGCCAGATATTACAGAAAATTCTTTCCCAGCTAACTGTAAGCCCTCCACCTCTTGCGTTCCATTTCTGGCTGCTGAAGATTTTTGCTATTAGCAGTTGCAGAAGGGCCATATGCCATTTTAGGCAACATCATCATACCAGGCAATTCATCTCTTCTACAAATTATCAAGATGAGTCTTCAAACAGGCTAGGGTTTTGTAGAAGCTATTTCATGTTTAGCTAGAAGCCATTCTGTATAACAAAAGCCATTTCAGGCTCTTGTGTCTGCACGAGGGAGTGAACTGACCTTCACTGAGGTGGGGAGAGACCAGAGGGATGCGCTGTTGGAATGTGTTAATGAACTATTTTGAACTGAAGCTCGAACTCCCTTTTAACCTGTTTCTTTCTATGCTGATAATAATTCCTCTTTGAAGTTCTCTTTGATTTCTTGCCCTGACGTCAGACTTGTTTGGTTACGGTTATAAAATACTAGGATTTATTGTATTAGCCAGCCTTACTGGGCCCGGCTTTGCTGAGACCACGTTTGGCTCACTTTGCTTTTATTGGACAATAAAACTGTCTGTTTAGCCGCGTAAACTGAGTGAGGCGTTTGCTTCGACAGTTTTTATCCCCACTTCTGCATTGAAAAAGCTATTGCAGAACTTCACTCTTCTCATGGTTAGAAACCTTTGCCTAATTTCAAGCATAAACGTGTTGATGGTCAGTTTACAGCCTTTTCTATTTGTGTTAACAGTGCCCCTTCTCTTAAATAACTTCTCTTCCTTTCTGGTGTTTATCCCTCTACCAGGGCGCAGGCGTCCTTGGTAGCCTTTGGTGCACAAGATATATTCACAGAGAACAATCTTATCCCCTTTTAGCATTCATTCTGTTAGTTTCAAGAAGCCAAGCCAAGTTTCCTCTGATAAGGCAGGTTCTCTTCTTCTGATCATCCTGGCAGCCCTTCTCTGCAACTATTCCAGTTTGAATGCATTATTTTTAAACATGGAACCCCAAAATTGCATAAAGTATTCCAGATGAAATCTCACCAGTGCTTTGAACAATGATTCTAAAGTTTCTCTTCGTACAGGAAATATTGTACCTGGTACATCCTAGGATTCTATTAGCCTTTTTCAGGGCCATATCAAATTAGTGGCTGTTATCCCATGATTGACAAACATGCCCTGGTCTTTCTCCTCATTTATTCCCAACTGATATTTTGCCTGCAAACAGCAAAAATTCTTGCCACTCCCTAAAGGCGAAAGCTTGCACTCAGCACTATTAAATTTGACCTAATTTCTACAGACTGGACCTCCCTTGTCTGGCACCCTCTGGACCTGACCCGTCCCAAATGAGGAAATTTGCTGGATATGGGGAGGTACCTGCCACCAGCCTCCCAGGAAGCCCCTTTCCCTGCAGATAGCTCCGCTCCGGCCCCATTGCTACTGGGCTCCAACCTGCAGGGCTTGGACTTGGGCTCCAGCCCTTTGGGGCTCCCTGTGGACAGAGCTCCCCAGCTGCTGTGACCCTACTTCTTCCTCACTGGACCGGGAATCCCTGGGAACGGGGCTTGCCAGCTGCCCCACTTCTACTGCACTCCGCCAGGAGATAAGAACGGTTACTTACCTGTAACTGTTGTTCTTCGAGATGTGTTGCTCGTGTCCATTCGAAGTAGGTGTGCGTGCCGCGTGCACCACGTCTTCTGGAACGTTTTCCCTAGCAGTACCCGTAGCGCCGGCAGGGCGCCCCCTGGAGTGGCGCCGCCATGGCGGGGCATAAGTACCCCTGCCGGGGCCGGCCCCCCCCCATTCCCTCTGGAACAGTCATAGCACCAGAGTCATAAAGGAAGGTGAACAATAAACAGATTTATTTGAACAATTAAACCGTAACAAGTCACCAACCCAGAACAAAGACAACCAGATCTATATATTTACATCACAGATTCGAGGACTGCAGAGCCCACCCTTGCATCCTCCCTGGCCTGTTGAGGTAGCGCATAATGTGTTGCAAATGTGTGAAGGGAAGACCAGGTGGCTGCCCTGCAAATTTCTGTGATAGGTACTTGGGCACCAAAGGCTACCGAGGACGCCTGCGCCCTGGTAGAGTGTGCCTTCACCCTGGGTGGG